GTAAATAATGTTAAGCTGTTATTAGTACCAAGTTTATGAAACCGAATTGTTTTATTACAAAAATATATACCCAGGAAAGTTATTTTTACACAGAAGGCAAAAACTTTAATCTAAAAATTAGCTAAAATGTTATATCATGAAATTAGCATTATAACCAGTAGATGGCAGCAGAGGATCACTCATCAGCTCAGCTGACATTTCCACTCCCTAGTTTTTGTGACATCTTGCTTTTGGATTTATTATAAAATTACTATTATACCATTTTTTTGTACTTTTACTGTACTAAAGTAAGTATACGGTAGAAGCTGATATATATTCAGCCAACACAGTTGCTGCTGAATTTACTCTGCATCACTTAATGCACAGCTCTATTTTGACATCGGCTTGTCAGATAATTAATTCCGTCCATTTCTACAATATTTATCACTGTCAATGACTCGCGGATCAATTTAGCGGATTCACTCGCGTAATTTTTTACACTTGTGTTATTTGTCATCCCTGAAACAGACTAACAAAACTTTTCTTCAAAATTTAAATGGATTATGTGAGAAACCTTTTTTCTTGTTATAATGGGAAGATCTTTGAGCGCGTAGAACTCTGTAAACTTGTGAAAACTATTAGTTCAGAGCAGATTCTGACTAACCTACAGTAAACACCTCTGATCTGATGTGCATGACGCGTCGCTATCGAAATGATAAGATGACACGTATAGATTATTTAATATTGCGTTTTTGTATAATTACCATTGCCATTGACACAATATATCATCAAAAAAAAACAAAAAAAAAACAAGCCATTTCAAGTACTCTTGGGGGCCCCCTGGTGGCCACGGGGCCCTAAGCAGCCGCTTAGTTCTCTTATGCCTTGGGCCGGCTCTGCTGTGTGGTATCGGCTTTTAGTATCGGGGCATTTTTACGAGTACGAGTACAGGATACCAGTATCAGTATCGCTGCAACCCTACTTTTAGGATTTCCAAAATTTGTCTCAGACGGCCAAATCGTGGCCAAAATCGTACAGTGTGGACCTGGCTTAATTAAACTGCTGATTCAACTCCGCTCCTTAGTAGAGCATCCGAGACCTAAAATGAATGGGTCAGATAAGGGAAACATCAGAATGTGTAGTGTTGGTGTGCCTCCAGGAACACTGGCTCGTAGCTTGCCAACGGCTCAAATTTAAACAAACACGGGACAGGCACTTTAACGTAGGGCTGCACAATTCATCTAATTTCTAATCGCGATTACAATTATGGATGCCACAATTACATAATCGTTCAAAGTCCACTTATGTTATTCTGCGTGCTTTAGATGTTTTTTTTCTTTCTACATGTTATCTTAAGGGTTTTCCCATTGTTTTAGTTTTAGTATAACATTATAATACCATTCATATTTTTACTTTTTTATAATTTAAAGAAACCAATCTGATGTATAGTTGACATTTGAGGCTTAATACTATAGAAAAGCACTAAAGGTTTTTCAGTTAGTGTTTTCAGCTTGTTTATTTAAATACAGCATGCATCAAACAATGGTATAAACATCATTCAAGGGAATAATCGACAATTATGATTTTGGTCATAATCGTGCAGCCCTACTTTAACGCAACAGATGTAACAAGCTACACATGTAGCAAATAGCTTTTTCTTGCCTAAACAGTAGAACAACTAAATCCTTCCTAGCAAATCTATAACATATATATATATATATATATATATATATATATATATACTGTATATCCAGGAAATATTAATGTAAACAACAGAGAGCGGGTCTTCAGTAAACACTTACAATGCCGTCTCCACTGACTGATCGCTTCTGACACAAACGTGACTATAACCTTATAGGACTAAAGACTGGAAATATGACCATTTAAAAACTGATGGGGATGAGAATGTGAACAAGAACAAGTCAGTTACATGATAGAGATTTTAATCAGACGCTGAGTGGAGATGAGTGAGAAAACAAATCTAACAAATGACAGTTCATTCTCTTTTTAAATGCTGCTGTTGTTAAAGCTAACAAAGGTATAAAGTGACAATAATGAATTAAGATTCTATAAGAATCATAAGAAATCTGCATGTTAACATACAGAAATGAAAAGTATGGCTCAAATGTCATCAAGGTGCTGCTGTCTCTGCGTGTACAATAAGCTGACAGATGTTGGAAGAGAGAAAGGCAGAGCTGCAGAAAGCTGAAGTCGTGTCCGTCTGACGTCTGTGGACCGTTTCAAGCTCAGAGCTCCAGCAGCGTCCCATCATGCAGCTCTTCTCTGTGCTTTCTGCTGCTCATCTGTAGGTCAGATCTGTGACAGGAGTCCTCCTCTGTGGAGTAAACGCCCGAGTCTCCGCTGCCGTGCCGGCCGTGTGTGCTGGAGTCCTGTTCCTCAGCGTTTGAGTGCTCATCCACCGCCACAGCGTCCAGCTCAGCACTGACCATGACCAGCATCTCACACACAGTCTCTGGAGACTCAGGAGCCAGCAGCTGCGGCTTCTCCGAGTCACTTAACCACAGCTGGAGAGACAGAGAGAGAGAGAAGTCAGTCCTGTTTGTAGATTCATATTCAAGACCACGACCAAGACTTACTCACTCCATCCTTGGTTCTACCCACTGGTAGCTGATTCGATAAATGATAATAATCGGGACTCTGTATCGGTGGATACTCAGTATTCAATGACTTGGATTTCATGGGGGGCTCTAAAAACCTGATTAAAACATCCTGAACATATATACAGTGGGTACGGAAAGTATTCAGACCCCCTTAAATTTTTCACTCTTTGTTATATTGCAGCCATTTGCTAAAATCATTTAAGTTAATTTTTTTCCTCATTAATGTACTATTATTATTAATTATTATTATTAATAAGTAAATAAACTAAACTTTTTGGGTGATTCTTTCTGTACACTCTGTATATATATATATATATATACACATATAATATACACACACACACATATATATATATATATATATACTGTATATGTGTGTGTGCGTGTGTATCTATAAACAAACAGATAAATCATTCACGAGATGTTTTTAGAAGGCGAAATCCTTTATAACACCTGTCATTCTTTATGACACTGACCTTGTTCATTTGACATGTCTGTGATTTGTTTTCTCCATTAATAATAGTGTGAAATCTTTAGCATTTGTAGATGATTTTACGGACCGTGTACTGTTTTTCATATAGATAGTTCTTTCCGATCTTAATCATATGTAAATAGTACCTCCGGAGCGATAATTTGTCACTTATAGCGTGGGAGCAGCAGCAGGCCGTCAAGAACCATCTGCTGACCAAAAGGGTACATGAAATAACTGCTATGGATTCTGTTTAATCTTATCACCTTAACATTTGGTTGTTCCCACTTGAGTCTACCGAAGATGTGGGAACGGAAGGCTATCACTTTCATTGTTATCCGCAATTTACATTTAAAACGAAACTTAATTTACATGTTGAGCGGGAAGATGAACGTAATACAGTATAAAATGATTGAGATTAGGATGTTCAGGGTTCAGTCTGACTCCGTTGAACCCAAGGTACTACATGTACTTTGTCACTACTATTCTGTAATAAAAGTTATTCTTCATCAAGATCTTCGACGTCTTCACTTTTTCTTACGTATCTGTGACCAATATTTTATATGCAGATTGATTTCTCCTCTCTAAACTGTTTCTGAAGCGCGCTCTCTCATCACCGTGAATATGACGTATCACAACAACACTACAGAGACCTGAGGAAAAGCGGGGATTAAAGTCCAAAACCTGACTTGAAATAACCTAACAAATCAATCGGGGCTAAAGCGGTTCCATTAACGACAAATTAAGTTCACACAATCTCACTAATTTGTGCACGCTTATTTTTAAGCAGCTAAATGTCGATCATGGATCAAATCGATCCACCATCGCAAACAGCGAATATATCTGTGCTGTTTAATGTATTTGAGACATTGTGTTTTCCTCAGTGCATAACTGACACGTCACAGGTATATATTTCATCTGTAAATGTCAGAAAGTCATGCAAACATCCATTTTGCTGTCAGGAGCGGGCGAGGCTTACACGAGTGAACGAGCGCTGCTGCACGCATGCACGCTAAACAGTCAGAGCACAATCGAATAGTAGCACAATAATTCTGAGTAAAATATACATTTTGCTAAAATATTTGTTCTTGGACATTAAATGTGTCTTTTGTAGAATTTTAAACCTACATATAAGTGTATTTTTATTATAGCAGTAACTGTGAAGGGACTATTCTAATAGGTCAAATAGTACAGTACTAATAACTAAGCTCTGATGAGTTAATGTGTTTCTTATACCAGTTAAAATATAGTAATTGTCTTTATTTTCATTTTTAATTCAGTGATTTTAACTTTTAATTTAGTTATTTTAATGCTTTAAAGAGCAATTTTAGATTGTAATGTTCTAGTGTTTTGCTATCTGTTCTGCAAACTATAAAAGGTACATAAATAATAGTATGTGAGAGAGTAGCAATATCATTGGGTTCCTATTAGTCAGTGTTAGAGGAGCTTAGCTTAGCCTGACAGTTAGCCTGCTTTAGACCAGGTTAGTTTCTCAGCATAAGTTGCCACACAGTGACTAAGGTTAATCTATGTTAAGCTTGCTTTATGGAACCAAATAATTTGACAATGAGTCAGACTAACTGAAATAAGCCTGGCTTATTTGGTTAACTTGTTTTATGAAACGGGCCTCGAGGCATTAAAAGTGATCATTTTCTCCATTGCATCGAATCGCATTGTGTTGAATCGAATCGTACTGCATCGTAACAGGGGTGAATCGTATCGCATCGCATCGCTAGCTGCTTCATATGTATCGTTAATGTATCGTATCGTTGGCTATGCATTGAGATGCGTATCGTATTGGCCTAAGTCATGAGATGCACATCTCTAATAGACTTGTGCCGGTATTCGGTAATGCAATATATCACGGTAATGAATATGCAAACAGGCTACATAAAAACTGGACTCTTTAAGAGCCGTTTGTGTGCAAAATAGAACTGCATGATTCTAGATAAATGTAGTTCCCCCCAATGGAAGTTCTCTCATGATTCTGAAAAAGAAAAAAACAAAAAAAAAAAACAAAAAAAACAAACAAACATTAGACAACTAAACAATCACGTGTAATTTATGAATTAATGATTGACTCACTCAAGATGTAGCCTACTTGTTTCATTACTAGATGAATCAGCGTTCTTGAACGAATCTCTTGTATGATTCAAGGACAAATACATTTTAACAGCCCCTTTTCGCCACCTACTGGCGTAACAATGTAATCGATAAATCTTCAGTTGAACATTTCATTTCAAGTGTCAAATTACTTTCAAAAGGTGATTTACTCTATTTTAATCACTACCGTACACATCAGAGTTTATATCTGAACTATAAACTTTTATCCCAGCACTTCTGTGATTTGAATGTTTGTGACACAGAAATAATGACACTGTGTGGCTGAAAAGACTGAAGCCGTTTCATTCATGACAGACAGCTGCTCTCT